AGATGTTGGCCTTCTCTGCCCATCAGTGCTGAGTAAAAATTACTGATACAGAATTTGGAAGAAGTAGAAAGATGACTTTAGTCCTCAGCTGGCAGAGGGGGAAACACAGCAGGCTAGTGCCTCAAGAACTGTGACCCCCTCCCGGGGGGACTGAGACAGTGTCCATAGCCTGGGTCTCATGGTTTTAGGGAAAATGATAAGGCTCAAAGTAATGAAGGTCTTGTGTGTGTGCCGAGTTGCTTTAGTCGCGTCTGACTCTTTGCATCCCCATGGACTGTAGCCCACCAGGCTCCTCTGTCCACGATTCTCCAGGCAAGAACACTGGAGGGGGTTGCCATGCCCTCCTCCAGGGGATCTTCCCGACCCAGGGATCAAACTCACGTCTCTTGCGGCTCCCGAATTGCAGGCAGATTCTTTGCTGCTGAGCCACCGGGGAAGTCCCTTCTTCTTCTCCTTACTTTGTTTAAAAAAATCACAGCGGGTGTAGGCTCTTTGGGTTCGTTTGTCTCTGGTTTATTGTGCTGCGGCCTTCTGTCTGAAACACAAAAAGCTACAGAGAGTGGTCTGCAAAGGGAGTGCAGTGAAGGCACAGGATGTAATCAGCATAGAGGTAAATGGTGGTAGGTGCAGGATGTAGCTCAGTGCAGAGTTAGGTTAGTTTTGAGGAGAGCCAACTTAGTTATAGATTAGAGATTGGGAACGAAGTAAAACCTGGGCCTATTCTCTTTATATTCTTTGTCCTCAATAAAGGGAAAGAAAAGAAAGAAAATCTCATTTCCGAAAGCAAAGCTCATTCCTCTTTCTTCCTTTCATTGCCACAATTTGGAACCCCAGACTTACGGGTCAGCAGGTGGGTGAAAGTGGAAGCCAGGAGGTCCCTGGTGAGGCCTTTGGACTGGACTGAGCAGGGTGTGATGGTGACCTGGGTGAGGCGGAGGCCACGGTGACGGTGAGAGGTGCCAGGGACCGGGATGCAGTGAGGAAGACGGGTGAATGGGAGATGAGGGCAAAATGGAAAGAAAGCGGCCCTGGACATGGCTGGGCGTCCCCGTGGCAGCAAGGGCAGGTAGAAATCTGAGCATAATGTCTTTAGGGGAGGCTGCCTGGCTGCCTGTGTGCTAATTTGATTCCGTCGTGTCTGACTCTTTGCGACCCCATGGACTGCAGCCCGTCAGGCTCCTCTGCCCATGGGATTCTCCAGGCAAGAAGACTGGAGGGGGTTGCCATTTCCTTCTCCAGGGGAGCTTCCTGACCCGGGATCAAAGCCGCATCTCTCGCATCTCCTGACTTGGCAGATGGATTCTTTACCCCTGGGCCACCTGAGAAGCCCCTCATTTAAGACCAGTGTTGCCTTATTGGTTTTCTATCTATATGATCTGTATGTCAGTGTAAGTTAAAGTCCCCTACTAGTATAGTATTGTCAATATCTCTTGTTATGTGTGTTAATATTTGCTTTATATATTTAGATGCTCTTGTAGTGGGTACGTGTATGTTAATGAGTGTAATATCCTCTTCTTATATTGATTCATTTATCATTATGTAATGCCCTTCCTTGCCTTTTCCTCTGACTTTGTTTTAAAGTATGTTTTGTCTGATATGGGTATTGAGACCTCTACTTTCTTGTTGCTATGATGAGCATGACATTGTTTTTTTTTTTCATTCCCTCACTTTCAGTCTCGGTCTGTCTTTAGTTCTGCAGTAAGTCTCTTGAAAGCAGCTTATACATAGGTCTTGTTTTCTTATCCAATCAGTCACCCTATATCTTTCAACTGGAGCATTTAGTTATTTGACATTTATAGTAACAATGTGTGTGTACCTATTGTCATTTTATTACTTGCTTTCTGGTTGTTTTTATAGTTCTTTCTTGTTCTTTTAGTTCCCTGCTTGCTTGATGATTTTCTTTACCAGTATGCTTGTATTCTTTTCTCTCTTGTTTTTGTGTATTCTAAGTTTTGACTTGTGGTTACCATGGGATTCTTATATGTTGACCTACAACTGTATCTATTTGTTTTAAACAGGTAGTCCTCTAAGTTCAAACACATTCTAAAAAATCTACATGTTTTACTTCTCTTTCACGCATATTTTTTTTGTTTTTGATGTAATATTTTGCATTTTCATGTTTATCCCTCTATTGATTATTGTAGTTATACTTGATTTTACAACATTTTTTGTCTTTTAATCTTCATACTAGCTTACTTAAGTGGTTGAACCTCAGACTTTATTATGTACTTTCCTTTATTAATGAGATTTTTTTTTCTTTATCCATAGATACTTCTTGTAGTCTTTTCTTTTCTGCTTAGAGAAGACCATTTAACCTTTCTTTTAGGGTTGGTTTAGTATTGATGAACTCTTAGTTTTTGCTTATCTGAGAAGTTCTTTGTCTCTCCTTCAATTCTAATCGATAATCTTGCTGGGTAGAGTGTCCTAGGTTGCAGGTTTTTCCCTTTTTGTACTTTGAATATGTCATGAAACTCCCGTCTTTCCTACAAAGTTTCTGCAGAAAAATCAGTTGATAGCCTTCTGGGGGATCCCTTGTATATGACTGTTTTCTTTCTTTCTTGCTGTCTTTAGAATCCTCTCTTTAAGTTTTGCTATTTTAATTATGTTATATCTTGGTGTCTGTCTGTTTGGGTTCATCTTGTTTGAGACCCTCTGTTCTTCCTGTAGTTGGATGTATGTTTCTTTCTTTAGATTTGGAAAGTTTTCAGTCAGAATTTCATAAAATGTATTTTCAGCCCCCTTCTCTCTCTCTCTCCTCCTTCTGGGTCCTTTATATTGGGAATGTTGGTACACTTGATTTTATCCTAGAGATTTCTTAAACTGTTCTCATTTTAAAATTTATTTTTCTTTTGGCTGTGGTGGGTGATTTCCACTGTTCTGTCTTCCAGATCCCTTATGTATTTTTTCTGTGTCAGCCAGCCTGCTGTTATGTCCTTCTAGTGGGCTTTTATTTCAGCTATTGTTTTCTTTGGTTCTGAGTGGTTCCTTTTATTTTCTCGTTCCCTGTTAAAATTCTCACTGTGTTACTCTATTCTTTTCCCTAATTCAGTTAGTGTTCTTATTACTAATGCTTTGAATTTTTCATTTGGTAAGTCATTTATTTTGGTTTCATTAATTATGTTTTTCAGGGGTTTTTCTCTTGCTCTTCCAACTGAGACAAGTTCCTCTGTCTTCTCACTTCCCTTATCTCTATCTTTATGAAATTAGGGAAGGTAGTTCTCTGTTGCTCCTTGTGTTGGAGCGTTCCTGCCCAGTGGCTTTGGTGGAAGAGTTGGATGGGATGGGAACACAAGTGACGTCCTTCCTCGGGTTGTGCTGACAGCTACCGCCTTGGTAGGAGGCGGAGGGTCTAGGGCTGGAACAGGTGTGCCCGGGGCTTCTGTGCCGAGTGCCCATCATCACTGTTTGCTGGGCGGGGGTGGGGGGGGGCAAGGTCAGCCTCCAGGTTGTTGAAGCAGAATCTCTGAGGGCTGAGCTTCCAAGCTAGCTCGTCTCCCTTCAAGTGTGCGCGCTTTCCCTCCTAGCACTGGCACCCTCACTCTGGGGGAGTGAGAGGGGCTGTCCCAGGCACTTGGTGAGGGCTGGGGTACAGACTGTGGTGGTCTGGCTGTCGTCAGGGGTCTGCCTGCTCTGAGAGCAATGTCTGCCTCCATCCTGCTCAGGTGCTGCTTCAGGTTTGAGCTGCCTCGGTGTCTCACAGCTGAGGTCCTCCTTGGTCATAGCAGCTCCCATCCCACCGTGGAACTGTGATGTGAGACAGGCGGGGCTGGAATGTTCCCCCGGCTCAGGCTGGCACACACACTGAAGTAGCTGTGGTAGACCAGTTGGCCACCTGCGCGGTTTCAGTTTTCTCTCTCTGTCCTGCTTTGGAAATGAGCTAGCACAAGCACGCTCTTCTTGAGTGGAGTCCAGGCTTCCCACGGCGCCCTGTTAGTCCCACCAGCCCTCCAGGGGAGTTCATTTTTAATAAAACTCCAGGGGTAGGGCCCCCACTATATATGCTTCCCAGGGAGAGTCTTTGCCCAGTTTAATCTCCGTTCTCCTCTGAGTCCCCTCCCAGGGGCACAGCTCATAGGGGAAGTGAGCTCCGTGTCCTTTCCTCCATCTTGATCTGAGAGGCGCTGTGTTTGAGTCTGGACCCTTCTGTTGTATGGGAAACTCACCCTTCTTCTGTGACCTCAAAAGAACTTTTAAACTTGCCAGATGCTCATATCTTCTATACTTTTGGTATCACCTAGCCCTCAGTGCTTGGACAAGGCTGCTGGGTATCCTTTTCCTCCTTATTTCCTCTCCAAATCGAACAGTATATTTCCTTTTAAAATATGGTGGTTTGTTGTCTATCTTGAAATTGAAAGTGAAAGTTGCTCAGTCATGTCCGACTCTTTGCGACCCCATGGACTGTATGGTCCATGGAGTTCTCCAGGCCAGAATACTGGAGTGGGTAGCTCTTCCCTTCACCAGGGGATCTTCCCAACCCAGGGAACCCAGGTCTCCCGCACTGCAGGTGGATTCTTTACCAGTTGAGCCACTAGGGAATTCCAGGAACATTGGAGTGGGTAGCCTTTCCCTTCTCCAGCAGATCTCCCGGACCGGGAATCAAACCCGGGTCTCCTGCATTGCAGGCGGATTCTTTACCAGCTGAGCTATCAGGGAAGCTGTAGTCTGTCTTACACATTGCTTAACAAGAAACTGGAGGGAGGAGGTGAATGATAAATAATAGAGACATGGCTTTCAGATTTGGACCCTTGTAGAGAAATATCCACATTTCAGACTCAATTAATATTATCATTATTTTGAAAACTAGAACCCCTGGTGCTCAGCTTTTATCATTCAAGCGGACACCTAGCAACTGGTTGAACTTCCTCACTGCGGGCTTGGGGAACCCATGTTGAATCCTCCTGTTTGACAGCCGGCTTGCGAAAGACGTCTGCGCGGTGACACGGTGGGTTGTGTGTTTATAAACGAACTCTCTTCTCCCTCTCGCCCGCCCCGTTTCCCAGTGGCCGTTCCTGCAGCAGCGCCCCCGGCGTGCCCGCCCAAGGCCGCCGCTAACGGGGCTCCCCCGGCGCCTCGCCTCGCCGTGTCCTCCCGAGCCGCGGTCGTAGCCAGGATGGAAGGCGCGGCCCAGGGGGGCCTGCAGACCGTCATGAAGTGGAAGACAGTGGTTGCCATCTTCGTGGTCGTGGTGGTCTACCTCGTCACGGGTGGTCTCGTCTTCCGGGCGTTGGAGCAGCCCTTTGAGAGCAGCCAAAAGAACACTATCGCCTTGGAGAAGGCGGAATTCCTGCGGGATCATGTCTGTGTGAGCCCCCGGGAGCTGGAGACGCTGATCCAGGTGAGCAGGGAGGGAGTCGGCCATCGCCTTGCCCGCGGGGGGAGAGGGCGGCCTGGACCTCTGTCTCTCCGGCTCACGGAGCCTTGCCTTCGGTCGGTGATGGTGCCTCTGATGGTGAGGGGGACCTCGCTGGGAGGTGACATTTGAGTGGAGACCTGTGACGGGGTGCAGGGCAGGGTCCCCCAGACCACACAGCAGCAGGCGGCGATCTGCATCCTTCTCTCTGGGATGTGGTGCCCAGCGGCTGCAGCAGGCTGAGGGCTTTGGATTGTCAAGTTCAAAGCCACTTATGTAGGCTTATTAACCGTTACCTCTGTGTGAGATGCTGGGTAAGAGGGTGGCCTGGAAGCCAGAGAAAGAATTTTAAGCAAGCAGGGGTGTCTCAACCTGTCCCAGGGGAGTGAGAATGGGGCAGAGAAAAGGCCACCAGAAGTGGGGTGGGGAGGCCGCAGAGACTTGGAGAGGTCTGGGTGGCTTTGCGAGGATGAAGCAGTCAGGACGTCCGTAACAGCGATGAGCGAGGAGCTGTTTGGGACATTCACTGTGTGTCGGGCACCGTGCGGGGGCCTTCCTGTATTTTGGATAGGAAGGAAAAAATCTTTAAAAAAACGGAGGTGGAGAACTTTGGGGTCCTGCCTGCGGAAGCCAGGCAGAGGACGCAGAGGTGGAGTGGCGTTGGTGGGGCGAAGGGAGGCTGGAAGGGAGTGTGGGGGACAGGGAGTCATCTAAGGCGGTATGGGGGGGGGGAGAGAAACAGGAGGCTTGAGAAGCACCTCAGCAGAGAGGACCAAGTCCCAGGAAGAGGAGAGGGAGGCTGCTGAGAGCCCAGTTGGAGGGCTTCACCGTGGAGGTGGCGGAGGGCGGAGCTTCTGAGGCTGCCGTTTGGTTTCCAATCTGCACACCCTCCTGAACCACGAGGCATGCTGGAGGAGGGCGGTGACGCTTACGGAGGCAAGGGAGAGCCCCGTTTAGGGGGGACCCTAAAGTTTGGAAGGCAGAGGGATGGAGAAGACAGCTTCCACAATTCCTTTTGGCCCTGGTGTGACCCACATGAAATTCTAATGGTAGGAGAATGCTGGAGTTGGGTAGCCTATCCATTCTCCAGCAGATCTTCCCGACCCATGAATCGAACTGGGGTCTCCTGCATTGCAGGCAGATTCTTTACCAACTGAGCTACCTGTGAACACCAAGGGAAAAATGAATATCATATATCAATGCACATGGGCTTCCCAGGTAGCTCAGTGATAAAGAATACACTTGCCAATGAAGGAGTTGCAAGAGACATAGGTTTGATCCCTGGGTCAGGAGGATCTCCTGGAGGAGGAAATGGCAACCCATGCCAGTATTCTTGCCTGGAGAATCCCATGGACAGAGGAGCCTGGCGGGCTACAGTCTATGGGGTCACAAAGAGTCAGACACAACTTAGCGACTAAGCATGTGCCGCATTTTAATGCATGTATGTAGAATCTATGAATAGAAAAATGGTACCAATGAAGCTAGTTCCAGGTCAGGAATAGAGATGCAGATGTGTGGACTCAGCAGTGGGGGCAGGGGGCTGGGGGTGGGGGAGGAAGAGGAGAGGGGGACAGATGGGGAGGTTAGGACTGACATGTATGCCCTACCATGTGTACAACCGATGTGGGAAGCTGCTCTGTGATGACCTGGGGGTGGGGGTGGGGGCAGTTGAGAGTACATATGTGTATAACTGAAAGTGACACAATGTCGTAAAGCAAGTATAATCCAATAGAACATTCTCATGGTTACTACACATCAGTTTGCCGTAGGAGTCACAAGTCTGGGCTGGCTTATTTATTTATCTTCAGCTCCACTGATAGGTAGGAGAATTCTGAGGCTGCTTATGATCTGGCCCCTTTATTGTAGTTGTATTCTTTTTCTTGTTAGTATATAACCTTTTAAATGTTTCTATAATCTGACTTGGTGGTGGTGGTTTAGTCACTAAGTCGTGTCTGACTCTTGCGAGCCCATGGGCTGTAGCCCACCAAGCTCCTCTGTCCATGGGATTTGCAGCAAGAATACTGGGGTGGGTTGCCATTTCCTTCTCCAGGGGAATCTATCCGACTCATGGATCAATCCCACGTCTCCTATTTTGGTAGGCGGATTCTTTACCACTGAGCCACCTCAGACTTGACTCTTAAGTTTAACAGAAATATACATTTTCCTTCTGGGAATGCATATGACTTCATACTGTGTCCTACAATTTTTATTAAAAAAATAAAACCTTACAATTTAAAAAGATAAGGGCAATGTTTCATATCACTCTTTATTAGATGGCCTTGTCTTTTTTTCACCTCCTTTCATGGGAAAATACTAACAGTTTTGATGATGATGAGAGTGTTGTGCTAATCTGTTTAGCACAGGTGTAAGGCTCAGATTGCTGTAAAGAATGGAGAACATAATTCTGGAGTAATTTTAAGTAAGGAATTGTGCATGCTGCATTGACATGTAATGAGACCCTTTTTAATTAGTTGCAGTACATGTAATAACCTAATAGGTGGCCTGGATTTAATCTGGACTCATGCCTGAATTTTCCTTCCTTAGATGATGAGATATTGGGGAAAGGGATCATGTCTTATTATCTTTGCATACACATGTAGCCTCTGCATGGCTTTGCATCTAATTATTACCCAAGAGAAAAATGCTTTTGGAATGAGATATCAAAGGAAATCTCTAACACTAGTGATGCCATGAGGTATCTGAGCTTATTCATACATTTCTTTATTAACTCAGTATTTCCCTATTGTCCATTCTTTGGTCTTTTCCTTTATGAAAGAATTCAGAGGCTGGAATGAAGGACAGGATGACAGAGGGTAGTTCTGGTGTTGCTATTGAGACCCATCCTTTGACTTCAGAGGTTCCTCTGTGAAATGGGTGTGTGTGTGTGTGTACGCGAGGTCATTTCGCGAGATCATTTTTATAACAATTTAACAATCCACCCTTTGTTAGGTATCTATCGTGAGCTAGGCACCTTCTATCCATGGAGTTCCTTGCTGTCTAACAGGAAGCATTGCTTTCCGCACCCCCCTCTTTGTATGCGCTGACCCTCAGTCCTGGATATGGGACACCGTAAGGCCTCCATCTGCTGTGGTGTAAGGGTTTATACCTCTGTTTGTCTACAGTTTTTGAAGGTTAAGCAGTTAAAATGCTGAACCTGTGTCAATTAAGAATCACATTGCTGGGGCTTTCCTGGTGGCTCCGGGGTAAAGAACCTGCCTGCCAATGCAGGAATCGCGGGTTCAGTCCCTGGTCCGGGAAGATCCCACATGCTGTGGAGCAACTAAGCCTGTGTCCCACAGCTGTTGAGCCACTCTCGAGAGCCCGGGGCCACGATTCCTGAGCCCTTGCGAGACAACTGCTGAAGCCCGTGCTCTGCGGCAAGAGAAGCCACTGCAATGAGAAGCCGGGGCGTCCCAGTTAGGACCCCCGGCCCGCCGCAGCTGGGGAAAGGCCCTGACCGCAGTGGAGACCCAGCACAGCCAATAATAATAACAAAGAAGCGCATTGTTATGCGCTGCCCTTCAGTCCACTGCTTCCTTCATAGGCTGTAAGTGGCAACACCTTTGGACCAGGGAGCGGCCTGTCACTTTAGGGCGTCCTCTGGGCAGCGCTCGGAGTGCTCATTAGAAGTATGCTATTTAGGAGGGTTTTCAGGGTGCTGTGTTCTAAGCTGGAAAAAATAGTATTATTGTATCTCAGCGATATTTTTATTATTGTATCTAATAGGTAAAAGATTAGATTGATGGTATTTATCTGGTGTTGTCGGGACTCCTGGCTGAACTGAGTGAACCACTCGTAGAGCTAGTTTGGAAGGTGTAATTCACATTATTAACACAGAGTAGTTGGAACAGTTTGAGTGGTAGTCGCTCAGTTGTGTCTGACTCTTTGCGACCCCGAGGACTGTGGCCCTTCAGGCCGCTCTTTGCATGGGAGTCTCCAGGCAAGAATACTAGAGTGAAGGTGCCAGTCATGGGGATCTTCCTGACCCAGGATCGAATCCGGGTCTCCTGCATTTCAGGCAGATTCTTTACCATCTGAGCCACTGGAACAGCCTAACCCCCATGAAATGCCTGGATAGGTTAAAAGAGCTATAGCTGGGGAGGAGTTTTTGGGGGAACTGGGGGACTGCAGAGGAGACAGATGGGTCACCATCCCTGACCTCAATGCTGTTATGGAGGAGACTGTCTGATTAATAGATTCATCTGTGCATTCTTTACATTGCTATTGAACTTCCGTTGTATCAGGCTAGATTTGGGGATAGGAAACAGGAGAATAAAATGCACCTTGAGCAAGTTAGAAACCTCTCCGTGATTCTATTTCATTATCAACAAAATGTGCCGAAAACCCCTCACCCTTAGGGCATTGAGAGGATTAAATTCTGTAATTCATGAGAAGGGCTTTGAACTGTGCTGGGCATGTGGTGAGTATACCAAAAAAAAAAAAAACTTAGATATTGCTGCTGCTGCTGTTTATAGTATCATTCAAGGAGCTCAGAATTTTAAGCAGTGGTTCCTGATGGGGAGTAGGTTGCTTCCAGGGGCGGGCACATTTGACAACGTCTGGAGACATTTTCTATGTCACTGCTGGAGAGATGGTGCATGAGGTTCCTGGGAAGAGGCCAGGGATGCTGCTGCTAAAGACCAGCCCACTCATCACAACGAGTCATCCAGTCTCACTTGGCAAGAGGCTGAGCAACCTTGGGGGAAGAGGCGTGTCAGCCAGTAATTGGAGCTCACTGGAAAGGAGCTATTTCCCCCCAATTTTATTGAGATATAATTAACATATATCCCTGCATAACTTTAAGGTGTGCAGCATAATGGTTTGAGTATTTATTGCGAAGTGACTACTGTCAAAAGTTGAGCGGGCATCCATCCTCTCCTATAGGTCCAATAGAGAAAAACAATTTTTCTTTGTGGTAAGACCTCTTAGATTTCCTTTCTTACACCTTTCATATATACCATATCTCAGTGTACATTCCCTTCTGA